TTTTTTTTTTTTTTATCCGACCCTTGCACGCTTGCTCATACGCAGGGCTCTCTGGAATCACTTCGTTTTCGTTTTAAACAATGCGCCTTTTGTCCTTCGCTCCGTTTTCCCACTGAAATTTTGTCTCTGTCGAGCGAGTTTTCTTTTTTTTTTTTTTACTTTTTTCCTCAAACAATACTCGATAATACATGCTCTCCAATTTTGTGAAATTCCATCGAATAATTCGTTCCTCTTTCTCTCTCTCTCTCTCTCTCCGATTTCCATGCAATATCTATACATATAAACCTCTATCTCTGCGCGGTTAAATTTTTTTTTCCAGTCGCAACTCGAAGTTGGGCCAACGTTTCAAACGAAATTTAAAACTATCAGATAGGCGGGATATATATATAGTCTAGTGATACACGAAAGGCAATTTTCGGGCACAATTATCGGGACATGTCGTTGGACACGGTTGGAAGGTTGTTCGACGGATAGAATTAAACTTGGTGGAACGGGTGCAAAGTTTCCTTAAAATTAAGCCATCCTCTCCCTCTCCCTCCCTCCCTCCCTCCCTCCTCCTTTCCTCCCTCGTACACGATTCGAGAGCAGTCGAGGAGCAAAGTAAACGGCGCACAACTGAGCGACTTAATTCAGAATACACGGCGCGGCGCAATATAACACCGGGGAGCCCCCTCCTTCCCCTTCTTTCCTATCCGTGCGAGGCGACTCGCAATTTATTCCTCTTCGCCCCCTCTCCCCCCTTCTCTCTCTCTCTCTCTCTCTCTCTCTCTACGCCTCTGCCACCGCCACTCTCCAATTAACTTTAAATCACCCTCTCGGCGAGTCCTCCTCATAACGCGAAACTTCGAAATCAGGAGTCATGGTGCGCGTTTAAATTCCCTGGGAAAAAAAGAACGCGCGAGATCGTTTTCATTTCACCCTCGTTCTCCACGTACAATTGCGATTCAAATTCCGCCCGGTTTACCACCACCCTCGCGTTCCAATACAATATTTAACTATCCAAGTTTTCCCTCTCTTCCATTGCATCCGGTTGGCATCCGGCAAAATTGGCGAAAAAATTATTCGAAATAATCGAAGATAAAGAGAAACGGAGTGAGAAAAGAAGAAGAGGAAGAAGAAGAGGAAGAGGAAAAGGAAGAAGAAGAAAAAGAATAGTGTTTCGCGGAGAGAATCGAAGAATCGGTTGGAAGGATTATAAGCCGGTTAATTTTCGAATCGGCTTACGCGACACGCTGTTTGGGAACGGGAGAGAAAGGGCGGGTTTTGTGGCCGAGTTATGGGACAGAGGATAACCAAGTGGGTGTGTATTGTGCCTCCTGTCATCCTCAGTCGAGCTTTCGTTACCCCAAATGCTAATTATATGTCAACCGTTCACGCGCCATATCACGGAAGGCCGAGTGTCAGGGATGGAACAATGAGGGTGGCTCGGGCTAATGGGCCTCTTCCACACCAAAGACGTTGCACAAACTTTTCAGACGTTCTAATAAAAATTACACGGTGTCTTCATTTGCGAAAATTGCGTCGTTTCTGTCACGTCTGACAAGGAAATCCGGGAAAATCCGTGTTTTTTAATTCCAACAAAAAATGTGTCACCCGTCGTCGTGCCCCTCCTTTCCATTCTATTTTTGGAAAAGTAGATCACACGCGTGAGATACAGTTTTTTTATCGTCATTCATAGGTACGTAAGCCGCCACAGATAAATATAAGAAAGTTTAAGCGACAAAATTCGTCAGGGCCAATTTATTCCCTTATCGCCACTTAAGAGAAAAGAGCGATAGGCGTGTGACCTCATGAACCGGTATTATTCGCAGAAGGACTCGCTGATTGATGCACTCTGTACACGCAAAACTCCTATCCGCCCACTTTCACCCCTTCCGATTCGGAATGTTCATATTGGGGAGTCTCGTTGATTCGAATCATCCTTGCTTATCGAGGTTAACCGGTGTATTATCTTGATAAATGTCCATCTCGAAAACGTTCCATTTTTTATTTACAATTTTCCAATTTTAGATTTTGCGATATTTGAAACGTTCAACCGGTTCAAACCGCAATAACGCTCGCATCGTGACAACGGAGGCAATCGTTGGAAGCAAGTGGAATAAGAAAACGAAAGTTTGATCGTTCCACTTCGTTAAGAGAGGAGATAATTAATGAGTCGACAACGGGACGGGTAAATTTGCAAAGCCATTTCAAGTTTCTTCCAACCGCTTCAACTTTCCTCAGCTTCCATTCGTCCGTTACCGTTTGATAGTTTACTGTAGGTGATTGAATTCTTCCGACGATTTGTAATCGCATCGGTAAACTTTGTACATTTAACGCCAACTCTTCACCTGACGGGGATAGAAATGGTAACGGAGGTGTTCGTCACTCAGGAGTGGCTCACGAAATCTGGCTGGCTATCGTTTTCAACCCTTCTATCGACCTTCTAGCGTTCCCTCCCGAAATTCTTTTTCGGTTCTTCCATGGTCTCGACTAATAGTGCAAATAAAAATCGTCGTGAAAATTTCAATCGAAATAATAAAGAACGAGGCGAGGGAGGAGAGATGTAAGAAGTAAGTAAGCGAAGAAAAAGCGGTGGAAGAAAAATTAGCAAATTTCAGACAAATCGATACCAATCGCGCGAGAAAGGAAACAAAATGGTCCCGAAGCAGAGTCGGCCATACTTCAGAGTGGAGATTGAAGCAAATTGGCAGAATTGTTGGCTGCCGCAAGGAGCAATACTGATTACCTCGACCGCTCGTTAAGTACTGTAACAATACTAACCCCCACCACGTCCCATACGATTCTCCCCTCTCGTATCACTTTTGCGAGGGTGATAGATCCGTTGGCCAATCCTGTCGCCTCGTTCCCCACCCTTTCACCCTGCATTTCGTGTCTTCTTCTCGCCCCGTGTCGGCTGCAACGGGTTAGAAAACGGCAAGTGACGATAAGCCAGAAAGAGGAAGAGAATGATGGATACATACCGAGTGAGGGGTCTGCCTATGTAGAGTGCGAGGAACAAGGAAGGAGGGAGCCAGCGTGACACCACGTTCAGTGCGAGAGAGAGAGGGAGAGAGAGAGAGAGCGTACATTTGAATCGTAAAAGCGTGCAAAGAACACGGTGCAAAGAAAAACCAAGAGGAGAAGAAGAAGAGGAGGAGGAGAAGGAAGAAGAAAAAGAAGAAAAAGAAGAGAAAGAAGGAAAGAGAAAGAGAGCGAGAGGAAATGTAACGGGAAAGGGTGAGAAACAGGAAAAGAAGTGAAAAAAAGACAAACGAATGAGCGAGAAAAGTGTAACTAAAAAGTAGATGGACAAGATTCACCTATTCATTTAAGGGGGAGAAGAGTGAGAGATTATGGGAAAAGTGTTTGAAAGAAATTACGCAAGGAAGGGGATGGAAATCGAAGTCAACGCGAAGGAAGGAGGGTGGTTCGAGACCAGGCTTACGTTTCGAAGTGCTCGAAGACGCATAATCATACCTTTTGTGATTTACGACGACAGTTGCGCGGCTCCATGACGATAAAGTCGGAGTCTACGGTTTTCTATAGGTCATAGGGGCGTTTCGGGGGTTACGCGAGGAGATCGTTTCCCTTCTCGAGCCTCGCTTCTCACACCGGCCTTGCTTTTCCGCTCCTTGTTCCCTGGTTATTAGGGCTGCCTTTCGCTGTGGGACAATCGAAAGGTACCGGCTAATGGGCGGAGCTTTTGGGCAGAACCACTGCGTCATATTCCACCCTGTCGACGGGGGTTCGGTATTTCCATCGTTTCTGGAAGCATGCATTTTTCATCGTGGTTAAGCAGCATGTTTGCTCTCTCCCCGATATCGGATATTTTCATTGTTGCCATTCGCTCGAATTTTCGCTTCGCGCTTTTCGCTTATTAAATTTTCCCATTTTTTTTTCTTTTCATCGATTTTTCATCGTGTATGATTCAGATTTTTAGAATTTTAGAATTCACGTATGCTTCTTTCTCTTCCTCCTTTTCTTCTTCTCCCTCTTCTTCTTCTTTCTTCTTGCGAAGAGACTCGTAAAGTTCGGTAAAGACGAAGAAACGAGTGTTTTACGAAACCACCAGTCCTATCCAATTCCAACCGTCATTCCAAGTCCAAACATAACGCTATTCTACGGAGCAAACATTTCTACTTTTCGTCCGTGCAAACCTTCCATGATACCTCGGGGAAGCTTGCTCTTCAACTGTGCTGACCATTTCGCGACTCATTCAGCCCCGCCATTCATCTCCCTTTTCCATGTTGCACATGCTTAATGGCTACCAGTATATTCACGCTATTTTTGCGCGCGAATCAACCTTCAAATTGCGTACGCATACGTGATTACACGCATCGAAGGATTCTATCGTTGGATTCGCGAATTTTATCCATTCTTACACATCGCGCCGTGTGTAAAAAATTCGTTCGAATTACATTCGACGATTGGGCGAGGAAGATGGAAGTCAACGATGTTTGGCTCGAAGCGCGAAGTGCGAAACAGGGCATTCCCTCCGTCGTCGTTTCGACGTTTGCGCCCAGCCCCCATCGTTCAATGCGGACCGTGCTTTTTTTTTTATGTCAACACGAGGGCCAATTGAGCGGATATAATAGCGGTACCACATGTTTCGCTCGGATTCGCCTTTGACATGTGGGTTCCGTCCCGTTCCTTCTCTCTCTTTGGTGCGTACGCGCATCAAAACACTAACAGACTTCTGCGAAGGGAGGATCGTAGCGGCCACTAACGACCGAGTCCTCGAAATCATCAAATTGATCATGCCATGATTTGGCTATCTCCCTCTCCCTCACCATGCTTCGCGTCGTTGCCCACCACCAATTGACCAATCGATTCGGTTAAGGAGAAATTTTCAAACGACGATCGTTCTTCCCTTCTCTCCTCGATTCCGTTTCTTCTCCCGTCCCACCACCTCGAACAAAATTATATTAAAATTATTAGAGATGGAGAGTTTTGTTCGTTGGAAAATTTGATGGAAAACTTGATCTCGATTCCTGTTCCCTGATTGCAGGATCTCTACCATGCAACCGTTCTCGACCGGCAGCACAATGGCGAGCGAGACACCGACCAGCCTCCCACCGGAGAGAGTTACCTCACCGGCGCCGTGCAAGAACTTGACCTTCTCGATCGCGAAAATCATGGAGCCGGACAAACGTCTGACCGAGCAGAGCAACAACAATCAGCAAACGACGACGGCGACGACGACGACGACGACGGCGACGACGCCGCCGCAACCACCGCCGCCCAGCATCCCCTCGTTAAATTATTCGGCCCACTTGGAATCAGCGTTCAAGAAGTACGTGCCAACGTTGAGGCAACAGAATCTCTTGCAACCGTACTCCCTTCTCTATTATCATCCCAACTCGCTGCTGAGTGCCTTCCCGGCTCCGCCACCCGCCACCCCCGCCGTCCCACAGAATTCGCCGCCCCCCATCACCATTCAAAAAGCTTTCTCGAAGATGAGCCTGGCTGCGATCTCGCCCGAGAGCCAGCGTGAAAAGAAGAGCCCCGGACCACGGAGTAACGAACTCAGTACGACGAACAAACAGAAGACATTCACCTGCCCTGAATGCGGCAAGGTGTTCAACGCCCACTACAATCTGACCAGACACATGCCCGTCCACACGGGGGCGCGGCCGTTCGTCTGCAAGATATGCGGCAAAGGGTTTCGCCAAGCGAGCACTCTGTGCAGGCACAAGATCATCCACACGGCGGAGAAGCCGCACAAGTGTCCTACCTGCGGCAAAGCTTTCAACCGAAGCTCGACCTTGAACACGCACAGGCGCATCCACGCCAACTACAAACCGTTCGTGTGCGAGTATTGCGGGAAGGGGTTCCATCAGAAGGGAAACTACAAGAATCACAAGTTGACGCACAGCGGCGAAAAGGCGTACAAGTGCAACATTTGCAACAAGGCGTTCCACCAGATTTACAATCTCACCTTCCACATGCACACCCACAACGACAAGAAACCATTCTCGTGCAAGATCTGCGGGAAGGGGTTCTGCAGGAACTTCGATTTGAAGAAACACATGAGAAAATTGCACGACAGCGGATCACCCGTGTTGAACGGCCTAGGTACTTCGGCGCAGAGTCACAATCAACAGTCCGGTTACGCGTCCGTCCACCACGGACCCGGTGCCCACTCGTTCGTCAGTCCTTTCCTGCTTCCGCCGCCAGGTACCACCAGTTACTTGAGCAAAATGTTGTGACAAGGCGACGGCGTTCATTATCCGAGAAAGACGCAGTGCCCTTTGATCCTTGGCCCGCCTTGTTACACGGGGGACATCGGCCAGTTGACTCAACCCTCGAAATGAAGGGGGCGAGGAAAAGATATTGGTGATTATTAAGAATTATCACGGAATATCGAGGGGTGAAGCTGGAAATTGGACGATTAGATTAGATCTCGAGGATCGTCCTTAGGTTTTTCACCGCGAGAGTAATTTGTCTCTCCGATAGAGGGAGAGACGACCCAAGAAGACAGAGATACCAAAGACTCGGGCAACAGACGCTTCGACAACGCGGGGAAACGTGTACCGTGTTACCGTATTGTTTCGAGACAACCAACTACCTCATCTACTACAGCAACTAAATTGTAGCAGATTATTCCTGTTTTAAGACTAGTCTCAGGCCTTTTTCCGTCACGATGTAACGATATATACGTTATATCATTTAATCAAAAGTTGCACAAGTACTTTCTTCGGATACCTCCGTTTCCAAATTTCTTTTTTTCTTTTCTTTGATCACGCAGTATCTCGCAAACACACACACACACACATACGTATATATACGCATCTATACTCAAAGTTCTACCTGTTTACGCGATCGCGAATTTACGAGGGAACTAAAAATTGAAAACGATTCGCAATATCATACCGTGGATAGAAACGATCGTCAACAAACATTGGTGGAAAACAAGGCTCGATAAAAATCCAACAACGATGGACAGGTGCATTAATTTACATTGGGAACACGAATTTTCGACGGAACGTGACGGGTGAATAATATCCTTAATTTCGAGGATGAACCAACGCGACGACGAGGGCAAAAACGGTGGGCAAATAGGACGAGTAATCGAATTAGACGATTCGTCGCGGACAATTCCGGGAGCACAATGATATTTTAACCGAACGAGCAGTTGCCAGCTGCAAAACACGGAGCGTGAATATATCGGAGAAAGCAAATAATCGGTCGTATCGGGCGAAATAAACCATGCCGGGAGGTAAATCAACAGATAGACAGAGGAACCAGAGAGATAACATAAGTGCATATTGGCAGGATCGTTATAAACTGGATACCGGATCCCCCATGGCATCGGATTAATCGCATGAAAGCTCAATCGATGGTATCCTGGCGAGAGATGATTACTTATTTATGTAAATACTTGTAAATATTTGTACCTGCGACAGAGAGTGATCTCGTTATTGCGGCGCATTAACGGTGGCCGGAAATTATCGACGAAAAAAAAAGAAAAAAGAAAAGAGAGGAAAAAAGCGAGATGGTGGTTGGTTCTTCAGCGACGATTCGACGCGAGACATCGCGCGAGAGTATTGGATCAGAGCTCGGATCGAAGCTTGGAGGGCTCGCGTGCAAGCTTCCTCCAAGATGGAGGAAAAGCGTAGAGAGGAACAGACACGTTTGGCCACGATTATCTTTATCTATTCCTTAGACGAAATGTATAAATCGGTGTGATAGTAGCTTTTAAGTGGCGACGCGCGTAACGAGCAAGGAAGTGTTGGCCGTTCAATTTACTATCCGTTGTAAAATTACGCCTAGATACTAGGTTCGGCGATCGATCGATGTGGATTTGACCGATCGAAGATTTGTACGCGATCGTTTCGAGAGAGATTTGCAATAGTGAGAACGTAGGGAACACGAGTCGCTCCGTTGTTCTCCGTTTTCCCGCGTGTTCAATCTCATCTTCATTATGCATTTTTATTTACGTCTCACCTCGTTTTTTTTTTTTTTTTAAAGTTTATTCACCGCGATTCTTCCGTTCCATCCCTATGCTCTCCATCCTTCTTCCTTTTGACTTTCACTCGCGGAACGAAATTTTGAAATTTTAATTTCTCTCCCTTCCCCCGTTCCTTTTCTCCTTTACGAACGATGGTTAACTCGAACACAATCGAAACAGATTCCTCCAGGGAGAAATTCCTCCTTAATCGATTCGATATTTCACGTTTCTACGATACGGAACTAGGTAAGCCGCCATTAACGACGAGGCGAAATTAATGAATTAAGCATGATTAAAATGGCGAAAATAAAGAAACGAATTATATATGTAGATAATCGGTAGAGTAGATGAAAATGCATATGTATGTGTCCCCTATTGTAAATATGAGTCGATCCAATGCAATAAAATCATCGATACCAATGAATTATTTATTCGTTTCGTTTTTACACCCTCTTCGCCAACAATGCCAACCCTCGTTGTACTACTCGTACTTGTATTAAAAAAAAAAAAAAAAAAGAAAAAAAGAAGAAAGTCCTCTTAATCTCACACGTATCTTTCGATCGAAGTGAAGATCCTTCGCGTATATACAATCACGTATTATAATTTCATCGAGAAGTTGCGACAAAATTTGCAACTCTTTATCCTCAATACCCGAGAGCATCGATTGGCCTAGAGAAGAGGAACGAGAAGACTCGTAACCCCTCGGTATAATGTACGTAACGAGGGTAGGAGAGTTCTAATCTCTTGGCCGCATCATCCATTCGATCCCTAATCTGTTAGCTACCGTGGAAGAAAGAACCGACCCTTAAGCACATCGTCTCATACTCTCGATCCGATCTCTTCTCTCCTTGGAAAGAAAGAGAAGGAAAGCGTCGGTTAAAAAAAGGAAAAGCGTGGAGAAAGAGGGAGAGAGGGAAGGAGGAAGAGAGAGAGAGAGAGAGAGAGGTCAGCCGCATCATCTGCCATTAGACGCGATGCAATCTATCGCGTTTAGTTTAGAAAGAGGCGAGACCTTGTGTGTATAGGAAGCGGTGTATCGGATGCACGGGTGGTGCGAGAAAGGGGGCGAAAGTTAGTCAAAGGTGAGAAAAGAGACGGATCGATGCATAGAGGGTGGTCGAAACATCGAGGGGTTGGAGGATAGGATATTCCTATCAGAAGGGAGGATAGACAGAGAGGACGACGTGCTTCTGTTCTGATTTACGCTCGAGATATCGCGCCGACCTTCTGATGTATCTGCAGAATCTGTCCTCTATCCATTAAATCGAGACTCGTCCGACCGCCATCCCAACACCGGTCCCTTATCAAACGCCACTGTTACGAACGCCACCCCTGTAGCACGTATACGTATACGTGTCAACGAGGAATTTCGTGTTTCCGGGTTGACGCGTTCAAATTAAATCACTCGAGAGTGGTGATGTTCCAAGATCGAAACGAACCAAATCTTCTTTGGTCATCAATTTTTCTATTCACAGCATCGGAAATACTTATCGATGATGAATATGAATAGAAGATGATCGAGAGATAATACCAATAGATTTCTTCTTCCGAGGGAGAGAATCGGTAGAAAAGTATTTCTCGATCTTTCACACCCCGGCGATACGACGAAGGAAACTAACTATATAACGTGTTTCTTAAAAATCAGCAGGAAATCCTTCGTTACAAGAGAGGCGTCGAAAAGAATCTCGTCGACCAGCGGGGGTTGTATACAAACAAGTATTTAGAAGCGTTTAATGGGAATTATCCGGAGGCGGAGGTGTGACAATTAGGGAAGGATTATTAACACCTGGAGTCGGCATCACGCTGTTCCACGAGTCGCTCGCTGAGTCGAGAGTTAGACGAGAAGAAAACTTTCCCGTCGACGATCATAGGGGACCGCAAAACGTTAAACCTCCAAACGTTTCCCTTATCCACGTGACTGACTCGTTCTACCGCGATTCCGGTATTTTTCGACCTGATCCATCCAACAAGAAAAAAAAGGAAAACACCGCGTTAAATCCACAGGAGCGTGAAATTTTGTTTGAAAATCTGCCGAACCTCTACACTCCTCGCGCCAGATTAATCGACGTTTCCTGCTTTCGTCACGATCTTGCATCTTCCTCACTTTTTTTCTTTTTTTCACTCGTTCCTCGTCCGAGAAGAAATTGATTCAAAGAAATGATTTATAAATAGGGGATTTCCGATAAAATCCGAATATCGAGTATAACGATCGAACGCGTTAAAAATACGTGGAATTCGAAATTGTTGAATCGCAGGTGGAACAACATCAACAATATGGAATATCAAACGAAGGCAAACAAATATTTCGAAGCGAGGGAAAACGCGACGCAGCGGCGGAAACGCGGCAGAAAATCCCTTGGCGCGAACGATACAACGTCGGAGTTACGCGAAACGTCGAGTACTCATCCCCCGTGTGTCCTGTGTTTTGGGACACACGCCCTCCGCCATTACTCCCCCTATTAATATCCCCGTAATTGGTTAAAACCCGTAACTGATGAGCGAACTGTAAGTTATTATGCAAAGAGACCCTCGGTTCTCGCGACGATGGGGGTTTATGGGATACGGTTCAACACCTCTTCATTACCCTCTTCATCCCTCGATAGATCGTCGGTGTTGTATCGGTGTTGTACAGCGGCATTACACGATGCCCGGTCGTGTCATTGTGCCATCGGATCGCCGATGCACGCCTGGCTCGTTACGGGGTTCATGAAAGAATCCAGTCGACTGGATTTACACGCTTCGAAATACCGCATCGAGCAGCACAATTTTCGTTCGTCCGACTACATCCGTGTTTGAGAAGAGGAGAAAAGAGGGAGCGGGGGAGGGGAAAAATATGGATCATCTCCGTGGAAACGTTTCGCGGATTGTCGCGAAATATCGAACGGTTTAAACAACGTTTCGGCAAAATTCACGCTCAGAAACTCTCGCCGAGGGATACGGATACGCGAGATAATTTAAAGAGATTTGGGCAGTAAGATGGAAAAATAACGAATGGAACGGTATTCTTTTTTTTTCTTTTTTTTCTTTTCTTTCCTTTGATTCACACCTAGTCACACCGTGAGATCGATCGTTCAACTTTCGAACCCCTAAAAAGCTATGGGTGCCCCATCTAATTACGCGGTATCAGGTGTCACCGACGGGGAATCGAAGCTCTCTCTCTCTCTCTCTCTCCTTTTTCCTCCGATCATTGTGTTCCGGTCGATCATTATACACGGTTCGACGCCTACGTAAAACGCCGTGGGGGGACGCGCGCTAGTCGCTCGATTCATCCCGAATCGCTCG